CACCACTACCACACAGTCTGTGCGAAACTTCCTGAGGTGATCCTGGTTACGATCTACTTTCTGATCGCAGCAGGGTCTATTAGATTTATACCCACTTAATCGCCCCACCCTTTTTTTTCTGGATTGTTCAATCTAGGAAATAGATGTTTCAGGTAAGTACTGGTGGAATGGTGTGATGGACTGAGTTGATATAATTTATCATCTTTATGTCTTCATCATCATCCACTTGATCTAAATGAGTTTTTTTTTCAATGCTTTATACACCGAAACTATCTAACGAGTTTTTCTCTACATGCAACCTCTGGACCCCAGTTGAGTTTATTGAAGTCATTCCGCGTCAACTCTTGTCCACCACCAGGTGCCGAAAGGGACGAATGCCAGCAAGGCAATTGAACGCGAATCATGATTGGCCGCGACGAGTCATGTAAGACTTCAAAAGAGTCCGCTGGACTACGATTTGGAGGCGGTTCGATTCCAGCCTCCCAATTCCAACCGAACCACCGCCCCAACCAAAACAAACTTCCCCCAAACCAAGGCTGCATCATTACCCATACACAGCACAGCTCACACGGTGGCGGTTGTGTCTCCTAGAAAACTCCTTCCAAACGAGACAAAATTCCAGGGCCATCATCAGCACCAGCACTGAACCGAGACCACGCTCAAACCGCGTTTATCAAAGGACGACGCATCGGTGACACCATAAACGACACACTGGACATAATGGACTGGGCCTCAACACAGAAACTCCCGTTGCTAGTTCTCACAGTTGACATTCGCAAAGCCTACGATATGGTGGACCGGGAATTTCTGTTCTGCTGCCTCTCTCACCTCGGCATACCTCCGGGTTTCATCTCATGGGTCCGTCTCCTCCACTCACATACCGTCACTCACGTCTCGGTGAACAATGCGGCAGGACCACGGTTCCAAGTCAGGACTGGGGTACGGCAAGGCTGCCCCCTCGCACCTCTCCTATTCATCTGCGTCATAGAAGTGTTGCAACGTCACCTTGCGGCAGCACTGCCCGGCTTTGCCATCTCACCTATCCAGCGACGGCTAATGGCCAGCTACGCCGATGATGTATCAATCTTCCTGAACTCCAACTGTGAACTAGCCACGGCCAGAACCTGCCTCGATAGCTTCGCGCAATGCTCAGGGGAACACCCAAACTGGGACAAGTGCGCGGTCCTGCCCTTTAACATACAGTCGTCCACTATCACGAACGCCGGACACATACCCATACGCAAGCCAGACGAAGCAGAACGCATTCTGGGGATTTATGTCGAACAAAACCAACCTGGTCAAACCACATGGGACAAAATCCTAGCTAAGGTCAGAGCATCAACTGACTTCCTCTCACGCATACACCCAACAGTCACATGCCGAAACTTGCTCGCCGCCGAACGACTTACCTCGGTGTTCTCCTTCGGAGGCCGTTTTCAACCATCCCCCCCTGTTATAACGACGCACCTGGACCGAGTAGTCGGCATATTCCTTGCGTCGTCTAAATACAAGGAGGACGGTCAAGCAACCCGTTATATCCCAAAAAGGTTCCTTTACAACAAAAAGAAACATGGGGGCGTAGGAGCCACCGAACCCTCAACGCAACTCAAAGCACTCAACATACAAAGGGCAGCCCGGCGTTTCCTCCCCACACCTTACGAAGACACGGCCCGCGCCTGCGCCATTCTACCATACGGTCTACACTGCTACCTGGCTCACCCCGATATTCTTAAACACCTGCCCAGCACCACTCCACCCAGAGCCCACGCAGAGCTCCAATGCCTTTTCGACGCAACGGCTAAGATACACCCACCTCGGCTCGAGCCATGGGTATTAATGGCCGAACCTGTCGCTTTTAACCGCTTCATTCACAAACCAGACAAGCTACCGTTTGGCCGAAGAAAAGCAGAATTTTTCCTGCTCGACAAACAAATTCGGCTCGGCGACCTGCTCGTCCCCGCCCCAGGCGGCTCCCGCCAAATGACAGCCAAAGAATTCCGCGCGAAATATCCACCCAAAGAATTCCCCGGTGGATTACGCATTCTGCAAACGATCTACAAAGCAGTTCCGGATGAATGGTGGCTGGTGCTAAACGACTTCACACCCCGACCAGGATATTTGCGACGGGGCGATTGGGCCTTTGAGGCCTCCCCGTCAACAACAACATCTCAGGTTCTACGCGTCATCCAGGTGCTCGACAACAACACAGCGCGGTTCGAATGCTACGATGTGATGCAGGGGAGACAGGTGGCCAAGACGCCCTCAGGCAGCACGACATGAGCCACGGCGGAGGTCATCACCGTATGCGTCATAGGGAACTGGGTGGCGGGTCCGTTTTGCTCGGGAGCTGCTCTGGGGGTGCGACACGAACTACTGCGGAAACAGCCCTCGCTAGCGGATATCCGAAGAAACCTTTACACCCAACAGCCTCTTAACCATGTCGAGCGATGGAACGACCATCTCCAAACTCCAATCCGCTCTCTACCCGACCTCACTCACACCTTCCTCACGGACCAGACAAGCCGTCAAAAAGACATCCTCTACCGACTTTTCACACGATCCCTTCCATGCGGAGCTAGAATGCCTTTCAATAGTAATCAAGGGATATGCCCCCGATGCCACAACAACGTCATAGAATCCCACACTCACATCTTCTTTGAATGCGGCAACGCTCCCTCCGTCACCTCTGCTCTACAACGCTCTGCCAGCAAACATCTCCGCCTCAATATCCCGACTGAAGCGGTTTTCTTCCCAACAGCAACATCTGCAGGTCAAATGGCGCCCTGGTGTTTGCTAGTCGGTGCAGATGCAACAACCCTATGGAGAGATCGCTGCTCCCAAATGTACGACAACGTTTCGCACTCCACTCCGGAAACACTTCACCGCATCTTGGCCCTGTTTCTATCCGCCTGCAAACTCTACTTTCATCGTCGAAGCAAAACGTCCGAGAAAAGGAAACGCACCACCGTCAACCGGGTGAAAGCCGCCAACACTCACAAACTACTCCAGTTTCTGCCCAATGGTACCCCTCAAGTACACCCAGAACTAAGCGTGTCTTGGCTGCTCAACTACGCGTACCAGCCCCCGTGACCGCCCCGCTTCCACCTTCTACACCAACACAGAGTGGGCAGGACTTTCTCCCCTCCTGCGGACTTAGTCCGGTTAAACAAACGCTGTTTTAGCGTAGGCCTTTGGCTCTGGATTACTACCTTGCTTAGCCTCTGTGTTGTCTGGGTTACGACCTTAATAAAAACTTAAAACTTAAAAAACTTAAAAACCAGCACTGAACCGAGGGTGACGTGTGACGACCAGGAATGTCTTTGTACAGTTCGGAACTGTCACACGGTGTAACCTGCCAGATGCACCTACCCAGGAAGAAAAGCAAAAATCATTAACCTCTACTACAGTCACGCCATGAAACCGAGAAAACAAAAGCTCGGTCTCTTTTTTGATTGGCGAGACAACCGGTAGAGGCGGATTGAGATCTTCACGTTCTGATCGGGAGGAAGCTTAGAGGGAACAGAGCTAGTACCAGTTAGAGGCGGTTCAGTTCTGCCTGGTAGCTGCACCGTCCTAGTACTACCGCTGCAGTGGCACCATGCAAACATGAGAGTCAAACGACCCTATTGAGAGCCTGGCGACCAATGATGAAAAATGGTTCAGCAACCCGCCGAGAGGGAATTCAATTAAAGTCTTTGTTTTCTTGGAAATTACGAGAAAAAGCGGAGTACTTTCCTTTCCCTCTCTGGGACAGCGAGGACGGATTGCTTTCCTTTCCCTACGAGTAGAATTTAGTGTAAAGATGAATGAAAATTTAAGTTGAGACTAAAGTTATACTCTTGCCTTGGGATTTTATTAGTAGTAGTTGGCCCCCACAGACATCACACAAGATCCAAGCCGCCCGTCACGCTCATGGCGATCATCATGAGTCGTGGATTACCACGTAGTAGTAAGCTCGGCATTTTTTCGTGGCTCCAGCCGCCCGTCACTGCAACAGCCATGATCGTTGCTCTTCTGGCAGTTTTGCTCGTCATGCCTGTGCCGCCGTGTTCTGCAGTGCATCATGTAGCACAACCAGGTAAAATGGAAGAAGATTTGTCCCGGGCAAACATAATGGTCGTGCTCTGCCGTCCATCATAATATGGGGTACTCAAATTTTGAAAACTCCCCTACCAACGTGGCCTGCTCTGCAGTATCCATGCACAACCAGGACACTAGTAGTACATGGTACAACCTAGTTGTGCAATCGTAGGTACCACTAGATAACTCCTGGTCGAATACAATCTCTTTCTTCCCAGCTCTTAGCCCACCTCTGAGTCTCTGTCCTTAGACCCACCATTTTTCAATGCTCCTCGTATCTAACCCCTGTTATGAATCCCTCCTCCTCCCACCTCTTGATTTCAGCTGCTGGAAGGGCCAACACGAAGCAGTACATCGTGCATCTATCGTCGGTGCCGTCAGTGCTGTCGTACCGGGGGGGAGTAAACGGGCTGCGGGCCACAGCGACTGTCGACGATGAGGAGGACGAGTATGAGGACGAGGAAGACGCTGATGACGTGGATGATGAGGATTATGGGGAGCATGGTGATGCTAATGGTGATGGCAATAGGGGCATCGGTGGAGTTGGTGACAATGGCACTGCACCAGGGTCAGCAGCAGAAGAAGCAGGATCAGCTGAAGGATCAGCACCAGCAGCATCAGGAGCAGCAGCAGGGGCAGCAGCAGCAATGTCAGCGGCAGTATCAGAAAAACTGAGAGGGTCAGAATCTGTTGAGGATGGCTTTGATGCTGATGTTCAGTTTGCTGCTGCAGCTGCTGCAGAGGCGGCGTTGGAGATAGCAGGGGTAGCAGCAGCAGCAGCAGGTGGGGCAGGAAGAGGATTGGGAGGAGTGGGAAGCGGAGGAGGAGGAATCAGAGGAGCGGTGAAGGTGAGCGCACTGCCGTTTGGGCGAACCGGGGTGGATGCGCTGGTGGAGAGGGTGGGTGAGCGGCTGAGAAAGATGAAATCGCTGTCTGTTGGCCGGCGCCTGCTGGCCCGCGTTGCTGCTGCTGCAGTGGCCGCAGCAGCAGAGGAAGCAGCACGAGCAGCTGGTGGTGGTGCAGGTGCTGCTGCTGCTGCTGCTGCTGCTGTCACACAGCCATTCCAAAATTCATCCTTTTACGCTTCCACTGTTTCTGCTACTGTCAGCAGCGTTCCTATCACGCCGTCATCTGCATCATCATCAGCAGCACCCGGAAACGGAGGTGCCACCTCAGCATCAGCGTCAGAAGCAGCACCAGCCGGAGAGAAGGCACCGATGGCAAGTGGAGCCACGTCAGCAGTGCTGACGGTGCAGCAGCTGAGTGCACGTGCTGCTCGCATCATGCGCTCAACGCCGTGGGGCCGACTCACGCGACCCGATGTGCGGTTACCACACGTCCAGGATTTCACCCGCTTCCTAAAAGCTTCTCACCGCAGCCTGCTGCAGTCGCTTAAGATCCCATCCTCAGCCATTTTCCACAGGTGGGGAGGGGGGATAGGGGGGAAGAGGGGTGGTGTGGGTGGGTTGGAGAGGCGGGTGGGGCTATTCGGGCTTTCGAGGTGGGAGGCAGTATCTTGGTCCACCCAACGTTTCTCAAGGCTCTAGCCTAGGCCGTTTTCCACAGGTGAGTTGGGGAGAGAGGGGGAAAGGTAGGATCAGTCATGAGTGGAAGGGGGTACTTTGGCCCGCTCAGAAGCTTCTTATGGTTATACCCTTGTCCCTTTCCCACAGGTGGGGGTTCGCAAGTGGGTCAATCTCAAGCCACCTCATTAGCTGGAATGTTACACGGCCGAAAATCGGTTATTTCAGTTCGGCCCAACGTGCATTCTACCCATACGTGTTGAGCAGATTTGTCTTTACAAGTCACCTACAGGGGCATGCTGTGTCTGACGTCTGCACTTGGGAAAGTCATGCCCGAGGGAGGTTGCTGAGGCAAGGCGACTCAAGAGGCACCTGGCAGTGGCAGAAGTGCGAGTAACCTCCGTTGGTTATGCCTCATTCACCCCCTCGGGCCGCCTGCCTCCCGTCCACCCTCCCCCTCTTCCACCTCCCCCCCCCCCCCCCCCCCCCCCCCCCCTTTCCACCCCTCAGCTACACCTATCTGATGAACAGCTTCGCAGCGCAGCTCACCGCTGCAGAGGTGAGGCGACTCAAATTGCACCCAGCAGTGGCAGACGTGGAGAGAGACCGCACAGTGCGAGTGACCTCGGTGCACTCCCCCCAGTTCCTCAAGCTCGACTCGAGCCTGTGGCCAGCGAATGGCGGGCAGAGCAACGCAGGAGAGGGAGTGATCATCGGAGTGATCGACACAGGGATCTGGCCCGAACACCCCTCCTTCTCCAACCCTGTAAGCCCGAACACCCCTCCTTCTCCAACCCTGTAAGCCCTAACACCCCTCCTTCTCCAACCCTGTAAGCCCTAACACCCCTCCTTCTCCAACCCTGTAAGCCCTAACATCCCTCCTTCTCCAACCCTGTAAGCCCTAACACCCCTCCTTCTCCAACCCTGTAAGCCCTAACACCCCTCCTTCTCCAACCCTGTAAGCCCTAACATCCCTCCTTCTCCAACCCTGTAAGCCCTAACATCCCTCCTTGTCCAACCCTTTAAGCCCTAACATCCCTCCTTCTCCAACCCTGTAAGCCCTAACATCCCTCCTTCTCCAACCCTTTAAGCCCTAACATCCCTCCTTCTCCAACCCTTTAAGCCCTAACGTCCCTATTTTGGTAAAGAAAACTTGCCATCTTGGGTTTGCACTTCGTAGGTTGCCAGTCAATCATTCCAACTCAAGTGGTTATTTTCTTCTCCAATCGTTTGTGTGTACTCCCCCGTCCCGTCCTCATTCGCTCCCCTCTCAGTGCCCCGCATCCTCCCTACAACATGCCTCCCTATAGACGCCTCAAAACTCACCTGTGTCCTCCCCCGTCCTCATTCCCTCCCCTCACAGTCCCCCACATCTACAACGTGCCTCTCTCTTCTTTTGCACCACCCCTCTCTCAAATGGAGTGGCTTACTCTGCGGCCTCATTGCATTGGAGAGGCGTGTGCACCAAACGATGCGGCCACCCCACCAATCTACTTAAAGCTCCATGCCCTCACTTCTTTGCCCTCCCCCCCCCCCCCCCCCTTTCTTGTTTCTTTTCTTTTTTGTCGCCCTCTTACTCTCCACCACCCGCCAGGACCCAAGTGCAGCTCATTACTCTGCTGCCCTTGTGCGCTGGAGAGCCGTGTGCACCAAACACACGACTTCTCCTCCTCCCCTCCCTGACACCCCCTCCTCTCCTCCTTGACGCCCCCTCCCCTCCTCCTCTTCCTCCAGGACCAAAACGGAGTGCCTTACTCTGCTGCCCCTGTGCGCTGGAGAGGCGTGTGTAGCAAAACTGACGACTTCACAGCGTGCAACGGCAAGGTGGTTGGGGCGAGGTTTTTCCTGAAGGGTCTAGAGCAGGTGGATGGCAAGTTGGATACCGAATATGATTACCGGTCACCACGGGACATCACGCAGCACGGCACGTGGTGTGCGGGGTGAGTGCCGTGGTTGTAAATTTGATCTGAGATGTCTCAAAACTTTCTGAAGGGCACATCTCCCCTTGTAGACATGCTGGGATATGTGGGTCATGCTGGGATATGTGGGACACAGGGTTTAAAAAAACGACCGTTTTATTGAAAAATTACCGTAAAAAACGGTACCGTAAAAAACGACAGTTTAAAACGGTTTTAAACAGTTCCAGGAGGTGTTTTCAGTTTAATTAACAAATCGGCCACTTTATGGGACCAAATTGAACCCGAATTTCAGCAGGATGAAGGGACGGGCCCCTTCTTGCATGTGTGCGCTTGTTGAAATGATTGGAAATGTGTTTGACCTTGTTTTCCCCTTTTTTTTCTTGGTGACCAGAGTTCTCTAACAAAAAAACGGCTGTTTTTTTGAAAAATCACCGTAAAAAACGACCGTAAAAAACAGACCGTATTTTACGAAAACCGTGTTTTTGAACCTTGGTGGGACATGCTGGGATATGTGGGTCATGCTGGGATATGTGGGTCATGCTGGGATATGTGGGTCATGCTGGGATATGTGGGTCATGCTGGGATATGTGGGTCATGCTGGGATATGTGGGTCATGCTGGGATATGTGGGTCATGCGGGAAATGCAGGACATGCTGGGATATGTGGGCTATGCAGAACATGTATGCTGGACATGCTGGTTGGACATGCTCAAACATGGTACGAGGTGTCCGAGGCGAGTGGATCAGCTGCGTGCAGCAGCCACGTGCAGCAGCCACGTGCAGCAGCCACGTGCAGCAGCCACACGTGTCATACAAATCTCACACCTACTCCTTTCCCCTCCCCCTTCTCCATTAGAGCGGCTGCTGGGAATGCAGGTGTGGACGTCCAAATGCCATGATACAACCATGGCATGAGTGTCATCCAAATGCCTCTCCTACTCCCCTCCCCTCCCCTCCTCCCTTCCCCTTCAGAGCGGCTGCTGGAAACACAGGGGTGGAGGTGACAGTACGCGGCCGAACCTACGGCACAGCTTCGGGCATGGCTCCGCGAGCCAGGCTGGCAGTATACAAGGCACTGTGGACCACTGTGATGGACGGAGGGATAGGGGCGTTTTCTGACCTTGTTGCTGCTGCGGAGACTGCAGTAGCTGATGGGGTTGACATAATATCTTGCTCATGGGGGGTCCTTCCTCCTATGTACTTTCAAGATCTTCCCTTCCTACGAGGACTCAAGGTGGGAATTAAGGGTTACATTGTAGACCTGGCAGCCTTCTCAGCCTGCTTGCAATGGTTTAAGGTGGGAAATCCAGGGCTGCATAGCAGCCACCGCATGCTTTTCAGCAGGCAACGAGGGAAAGGCCAAGAGCAGCAGGCCTTTGCAATCCCCTCACGCCTTCCACTCTGCCAGGCTGACAACTCTCATTCTCAATTTGCGATGTTCTCATGCTTCCCAATCTGCCAGGCTGCCAAATCTCATGATCTTGGCCTATGCTACAGCCTCTTGCCTCCCATTCTCACCCTCTCATTCGCACCCTCCGATTCTTACCCTCTCATTCTCAGCCTCCCATTCTCCTTTCCATTCTTACCTTCCCATCCTCATCCTCGAACTCTCGCCCTTCCATTCTCACCCTCCCAATCTCGCCCTCCTGTTCTCACTTTCCCAACCTCCTGTTCTCACCCTCTGGTTCCCACCTGTCCAACTTCAGGCCGGGGTGGTCACAGCCTTTGCCGCCGGCAACGACGGTCGGCCCAGCAGCATGAGCTTGTTTGGCACTATTTCTAGTGCCGCTCCCTTCTACCTCACAGTGGGAGCAAGGTACGGCTAGAGTGGGGGTGGGAGGGGGGGGGCGATAGGGAGGTGGGGTAAGGGATTTCACGGAACGTGAGTATGGCAGGGAGAAATGCCAAGCAAGGTGACTTTTGAGTCGACTCTTCTTGACACCCACAGCCTCCACGGGGCTGGAGGGATAACAGGGTTGTGCTAACCTTGGGCGATGGAACCACCTTCACAGAGCATGGTCTGAAGATTGAATGAAGCCACTACACTCTCTCCCCTGGTCTTGTCTTCCTACCCCCCCAACTCTCTTTCCCCTTCACCACTGCTCCCCCCTTCAGCACCATGGGGCAGGATTACAAGGCCGTGCTCACCCTGGGTGATGCCACGGCAGGTGATTATCGAGTTGATTTACAAGCCATACCCCTCCACCCCTCCCAACCCCTACAACCCCCGCTCCTCCCCACCTCAGCACCATGGGGCGGGAATACAAGGCCGTGCTCACCCTGGGCGATGGAACCACTTTCATAGGGCGCAGTCTTGGCGGCACCGCTGCCACGGCGTCAGATCTGCCCCTCATACGCGAAGTGTCAATGGTGTGTGTCTGGGGTTTAGGCCTTGCTTTGCCCAGTCGACGTTGCTCATGTTGCTGTGTCTTTTTGGGGGGTGTAGTGCTAGTGAAAAAGGTTTTCAAGTCCTTTGGGGCGTGCCTTTGCCTTTGCCCCAAAGGACTTCAAAACATTTTTCACTAGTGAAGCAAGGCACTAGTGGGGCGTGCCCTTGCTAGTGAAAAGGGCTTTGGGGCGTGCCTTTGCCTGGTCCACATGTCTCACTCCGCCGTGTCCTTCGAAGGGGAAATGGCCCAGGTAATGCTGAAGGAGACAAGGGCCGAGGGAGGTTCAGCTATGTACCTGTGAGCAATTCTTGAGAATTCTCAAAAGTTGACGTGAGAGAGGGGTATCCAGCCCGTATGGCTGGCTGGTTGAAACTGCATCAGTGGGTGTTGCGGTGATCTCTTTTGAAGCCCACCTTTGGCTGATTCTCCTTCGCAATTAGTTTTGACTCTCAAACATTATGTAGGATTTGAAAAGACCCTCAAGAGTCTATATTTCCTTCTCTGCCTCCCTTCCCTCCACCAGGGGGTCGCTTGGTGCGATAGCATGATGAACAGAACTAAATTCGCTGGCAAGTTCCTTGTGTGCACCCTGGGCGAGCACCCGTATGCAAATGATCTCACCTGGATGATCGAAAAGGCAGACCCACAAGGACAAGCGGCTACACTCGTTATAAGCCATTCAAAAGAATTTGATATGCAGCATTACATGCCCTTCTCGAATACCCCCAGCGTTTTCTTGAAATACTCACAGGGGGTGGCTGTCAAGAGATATATCAATACTGCAAGCAGGTAAGATTCACTTAGACCCGTGCCTTCTTTCTTTCTTCGCTCTCAGATTCTCACAGAGGTTAGCCAATTATGTCTACAATGTATGCACTTTCCAAAATTTTCCTCTATAGGCATCCACCACACGCCTCCTTGGATAGTCCTCCCCCACAACTCCCATCCCCGAACCCACCCCACCCTCCTCCCCTCCTTCCCTCTCCTCCAGTCTTCCTCCTCTATTCCATCCTCTCATTCCTTCTCTTGCCTATCCTCTTATCCCTCCTCTCTTCCCTTTGCTCCTTCCTCTCTCTCTCCTCACTTGCCTTTCGCTCTTCTCCAAGTCTTCTCTCCTCTCTTCTCTCCTCTCTTCCCTCCACTCTTCTCTCCTCCAATTCATCCTCTCTTCTCTCTCGTCACTCCACTCTGCCCTCTTTAATTCCCTCTTCTCTTCTCCCCTCTCTTTCCTCATCGCTTTCTTGTTTTCTTCCCACCCCCGCGCTCCCCGCTAAACCACTCCTGCTCTGCAAATCCTTCCCCCCTTCCCCCTCCCCTCCCCACATCTTCCCACTTCCCCCTTTTTCTTTCCTTCTTTCCTCTTCCCTCTTCCCCCATCCCGTTTTCCTCTCCCTTCCCCTTCATGTTAATGCAGACCCACAGCAACGCTTTCCGCATTCACCGCCTCCTATTCCTCCAACGTCCCTCAGCTCGCTTTCTTCTCCTCCACCGGGCCCCCCCGAAGCCCACTCCTCCCTCCGGCGCTTCTGATCCGCGACTTCCCCACTAACGACATTCTTAAACCCGACGTCATTGGGCCGGGGTTCGAACTATGGGCCGCAGGTTCGGGTGAATCGGTCGATACTGCTACGACCGATGCGCCGAACTTCAATTACTGGTCCGGTACATCTATGTCGACGCCGCATTTGGCGGGGATCATGGCGCTGATTTTGCAAAGCAAACCGAATTGGTCCCCCTCGCAGGTGATTTCTGCGATAACTACTACGGCATACACAAGGAATAAGAATGGGCAGCCGATTCAACGGGCAGATGGAACGAAAGCGACCGCGTGGGACTATGGAGGAGGGCACGTGGATCCCACGCGTGTCTTGGACCCTGGGCTCACGTTTCATGCGGCTCACAAGCACTTTGTTAATTTCCTCATGATGAGGGACCCGATAAGAACGAAGAAGCGATTTCGGCGCATGGGAAAGGCACATCCAGTTTTCCCCTGGAACCTCAACCGCGCCTCGATAGCTGTAACTCGACTACACGGCGTTACTGTAGTGTACCGGCGAGTGAAAAACGTCTACAACCTGAAATCTACTTATAGCGCGAAGGTGGTCCCTCCACCGGGCTTTATCGTGAGAGTTTGGCCGAAGAAGATGACCATTCGCCCCGGAAAATCAAGGGTGTTTAGGGTCTCGATTATAAGGTTCTTGCCGTTAGAGTCGTTTAGGTTTGGAAAAATCACATGGACTAACCAGCATGGCCATTCTGTGCCAGTGCGCCTTGTTGTTAGGTCTCCCATCTTGCCATGATTGTCATGACACTATGATTGCCTATCATTACATATCCATGCTTGTTATTGCATGTACTGCAATGCATTCCCCCAAGTAGAACAATTAGTAGGCTTTGTGAATCATGAGGTAAATGCCTGCCAGGGCAGGAACCAGAGGTCAGAGTGCTTTTGTACAAAGAAGGTAGAGCAAATAGTTATCAAGAACTCAAAAGGGATGGCAGGAGAGAGGCTGTGTGAATCTGAAGCTCATTACTGGTGGTAAGGTAGCAAGTGTTGATTGTAGCATGCCTGCCAGGGTAGAGACAAGAAGTGGGAAGGCTTTTGTACAAAGATGGTACAGCAGATGGCCATGAATGAAAATTATTGGACTGGACGGTACAAGAGAGAAGGAAGCACGGAGCAGAAAATGGTACCGTACTAAAAAGCAGAGAGAGGGCAATAAGTGGAGTGATAACAACGAAAAGCGAGTGAAAACCCCCCCCACGGTCCCCCCAAGGCCCCCCTACCCCCCAATCCTCCTCACACCCCCTCACAGCCCCCCCTATCCCTGGCATGGCATGGTCCCCCCCCTATCCCTGGCATGGCATGCCCCCCCCCCCTATCCCTGGCATGGCATGGTTCCCCCCTTGTCCGTGGTATGGCCACAAAGCAACATGGTACGAGAGGTGTTCCTGCGGTACGTTTTTGTTACCTTGGTCTTCTTCTGTTTTTGTTGATGTTCCTGTTCCTGTTTCTGTTTCTGTTTCTGTCACAGGGCGTCTGGAACAGTAACCGGAGGAACAGTAATCGGGTGGCATGAACAGTAACCAGGCGGTGGGAACAGTAACCGGGCGGCAGGAGAAGTGACTGGGCAGCAGGAACAGCAACCAGGCGGCATGACCAGTAACTGAGCGGTAGGAACAGTAATGGGCGGCTGGGACAGTAACCAGGCAGCAGGAACAGTAACCGGGTCCAGGTCTGTCCCAAACCGACAGGCTTGCAGGGACCAAGCCTCAAACCGACAGGCTTCTCCCGTGCCTAGCTCAGACCGACCCGACAGCTCTTATATCGACACATGCACGAGTACAGATAATCTCCTTGTTTATATCCTCCTACTCATATATATCTCATGTCCTTGCGGCAAGAGACGCCTTGGCGGGGTGAGAAGGTCTCTTCACGGCGCCCTGCAGGAAGGAGAGAAGGCCACCTGCGCAAGGAGGGGTGGGGTGGGATGGCACGACGGCAGATGTGAAGAACGGCGAGCAGAGTGACCAAAGGGAACAAGAGGTGAGCAGGGGAGAAGAACGAGCATAGGAGCACCAGCAGCAGCTTAGGCTGCCCCCAGTTGAACCAGCATTAGCATAGGCTGCCCCCAGCAGAACGAGCAGCAGCTTAGGCTGCCCCCAGCAGAACCAGCAGCAGCGTAGGCTGCCCCCAGCAGAACCAGCAGCAGCATAGGCTGCCCCCAGCGCACCAGCAGCAGCTTAGGCTACCACCAGCGCAACCCCCCGTTTCTAGCTCCTCAGATGGCGTGTACTAGAGTTCTACAGCAGCAGGGCCAGCCGCAGCACTCCCGGCAGTGGGGACCTGCGGGTCCAAAGTGTGGCACCCCCAGTAGTGGCTCAGCTAGCAGTAGGCGAGACGTCGGCCCCTGCGAGTACCAGGCCCTGACAGGCCCTGGTGCTGGCATTACTTGCTAGAGTCCTGACCACTCTGCGTCCAGTTGCTACCGTCGACTCGACGACCTTCACCGTGAGCGTTTTGGTCCTCACGCTATTACACCGCAATGGCCCTCGCGTCTTCGCCGGCGCACTGCTGCACCAGTTGAGTCTCACCTACCTGGCCTAGGATCTTTCCTGGCTGCACGAGTAGAGACCTGTGTTTCCAGTCTTGGTGCGTGCGTTGTTTCCAGTCCAGGGGCCTCTGAGGGTCTTTGTGTAGGATCTGCAACTACCACTAGTCTAGCACCAGCCTTTGTTGCTGGCTCGGGCGCGACCTCACAGACTCACAACTTTCCTTCACCTTAGACTCTGGACCGTCCAGCTGTTTCTTTCGCGACTGTACTAACCTCACACCACTGCGCTCTCCAGTCACTGTCGCCTTGGCTGACCCCTCTGTGGGACCTGTAGTTTCCCGCAGCACCACCACTCTCCCGTGTCCGGCGGCTCCCTCTGGGTTTCTCACAGGTTACTACACCCCCTCGTTCTCAAGGAACCTGGTGGATGTCACTACTTTCCCACTGGACGAGCCTGTTGCCTTCTGCACAGTCGGTGCCACTGGGGAGCCTCTGGCCACTTTCCACAGGGAGCCGGGCTTTGGTCTGTACTCACTACACACTGGATCCCACCACACTGACTTTGGTCAGGTCAGGTCAGGTCAGGTAGCTGCTGTGTCATGCGTCTGTCGGTCACTCACCCACCGTCCGGTCCTCTGTATCGGAGAAACAGCTCTGCCTGCCATCTGTCCTTCATTCTGATGCTCTTCCTCTCTTTGGCTTCTTGTGCTGCCTCAGCCACTCCCATTATGAAAGAGACGAAGCTCCCACCCCAAGGGTCCTCCCTGAGTGGTGTGTCACCTAGCTGCAAGATTAAGGTAACAACGTTCCACTATACGAAAGGATAACAAGCGAAAAGCAATGAGTGTGTGTGTGAGAGTGAATTTACCTGGCCCAGGCTCGAAGCGTGCATTTCTCAATGTGCGCCTCGAGCCTGGGTTGATGCATTCACATTGGTTCCTTGGATTGCACTCCTCGGAGCTCTCCTACCAACTTCGCGACACTCTCCCTGGTCCCCAACTACCTACACCCCAAATGTTCACATACAGTAATACTACACTCAGAACTACACCGCAGCAAAATTGGCACCTTATATGCACGACCGTGCATATTCGGTGACAGCTGTCGGAGAAACAGCTCTGCCTGCCATTTGTCCTTCATTCTGATGCTCTTCCTCTCTTTGGCTTCTTGTGCTGCCTCAGCCACTCCCTGCCCCCTCCTGTGCCCGTGCTTGAGCAGCTTGAGTGCGGGTCACAGGACCAGTACGCTGAGGCCCGGTCCCCCTTATCACAGCGGTGTCCGTCTGGTGTTCCTTCAACTGCGCCCCCTTCTCATTTTCCAGTACCAGCACTCCTGAAGGGCGCACCTCCTTGACTCTCCACATCCAGAGTGTCCTGCTTCGCTCTCTTCAGATAGACTTCCTGTCCTTCACATACGCCCCTCTGCACTCTCCCCTCCCCCTTGCGTTGCCTCTGCTCATATCTCCTGGCATCTCGCAGCTGCGCGGTGTGCAGGTTCTCCAGCGCGGCCGGCATCATGAAGCGCATGTAGCGTGCCCGGACATCAGACAAGGCCACCCAATTCTTGATTGTGCCTGCTGTCACTGTGTCTGTCAGAACCCGTGGTGCCCCCACTGGCAGAATCGGCTCTCGACCATATAGCAGACTGTAGGGTGAATGATCGTGCAGTGCTGCCTGCTTCCCGAATCTGTACCCAGCCGCTATCCAGTCCAGCTCGTCATCCCAATCCCTCTTTCTCTGCTCCCCATAGGTACGCAGCCCTCGCTTGATGGTCTGTACTATGCGCTCAGTCAGCCCGTCACTTTGTGGGTGGTAGCAGGAGGTGCGTCGGTGAGTGATGCCAGATTCCAACAGCAACTTCTTGAACTCCCCCTGGAACTCGGTTCCTTGATCTGTAAGCACCTCTCCGCACGCTCCAAAGCGACACACTACCTGCGCCTTGAAAGCCGCTGCAATGTGCCTTGCACTCTTGCTAGGGATTGCTCTCACCTCCAGCCACTTACGCACATGCTCAACCATGAGCACTATGTACTGGTTTCCGCTCCTGCTTAACGGCAGCTCTCCCGCCAGGTCCAGGGACCATCGAAATCCCAAGCCACAGATGGGTAGTGACTGCAGCTCTGCCTTGGCCTGCGTCAGGTTGGCCTTGCTCCTCTGACATGCCTCACACCCCTCTACCCACTCCTTCACCTGCTTGCGCATCCCCTCCCACCACCAGCCCGTCTTCAGCAGATGTACAGTCCTCTCATGCCTGAAATGCCCCAGCTTAGTGTGCACTTCTCTGATCACTGCTTCTCGCTCCTGTGGCGTTGGCACCAGCTTCCATCCATCTTCGGTTTTTATCAGCAGCTGCTGTTGATACCACCTGTAGTGGTGTCCTCGCGCCCTCACCCTCTCAGACACTGTCTCGTCCTCCTCGGTCTCTCCCTTCACCCATTCCATTGCCTTCTCATCCTGCCAGATGTCAGCTGGCCCA